CGGCGGGGGGGGGGGGAGCGATAAAGTGGATGTTGACTTTTAATTTCATCTGTGTCCATTCAGAGATCCGGGGCGAGCGACGGAAGAGGAAGAGGAAGAAGAAGAAGAAGAAGAAGAAGAAGAAGAAGAAGAAGAAGAAGAAGAAGAAGAAGAAGAAGAAGAAGAAGAAGAAGAAGAAGAAGAAGAAGAAGAAGAGGAGCAATCTCAGGCCGAGCTGTCTGATCGGACCGGGGAGGATTAAGGCTCACTGGTGCCCTACGCACTGACAAATCTTGGTGCCCCCCCCTCCTTTCCACACTGACCCCGTCCATTTTAGTTGTTGACCTGTCTGGCCAGATATACAATGCAGGTTGCAGCAATGCAAAAAAATGTATCCATATGATAACACAATATACTGTGCAAACTAAGCTTTTCGCCCTTTCCCCAACTTTGTGGTGCCCCCTTTGCCCCTGGTGCCCTAAGGACCTGCTTAGTCTGCTTCGTGGTTCATCTGCCCCTGGATCGGACTCAGCACAGACTCCCCCTCCTCAGGCGTACATCCCTTGAGGCTGATTCCTAGGAAAGTGGTTTTAGGAGGGTTGCACTGGAAATTCGGTCTTCTTTCAGCCTCTCCCCTGTTTTTCAAAACTGCATCCCAGCGAAAGACTGCGCACTGTCACTTCCTCGGGAGACTGTTGTGAGTCTACCATATAGGATACCTACTGCTTGGGAAATGGGGATGCCAGCCTCCAGGTGGGACCTGGGGATCCCCTGGAATGACAGCTCTTCTCTGGACTACCCTAGAGAAAATGGATGCTTTGGAGGGGAAACTCCACGGCCTGGTACGACCCACTGAGGTCTCTGTCCTCCCCAGGCTCCATCCCCAAATCTCCAGGAGTTTCCTGACCTGGAACTGGGGTATTACCTCCCCCAGTGTCCAGGGAAGACCTGGCAAACCTCTTGCGAAATTTCTGGACGTTTGGCCTCTTCCCCATACCTCAGAGGTTTGGGGGAGATAGTCAAATGAATATTTTCAAGGGGGCGGTCTAAGGAAGGGCACCCGTTACACGACTGGTTATAGTGGAACAAATTTAGAGTCCAGTGGCACCTTTAAAACCAACAAAAGTTTATTCAAGGTATGAGCTTTTGTGTTCAAGGCACACTTCTTCAGATACATAGAAACGGAAGTTGTTTTATATATATATATATATATATATATATACACACACACACACACACACACACACACACAGGGGTCTTGTTGTAGAAAAAGAGCTGCTGGAGCTCATTAGCATAACTCATTAGCATAACTTATTTGCATATGCCACGCCCCCTGACATCACCGGAAGTGACAGAAGGCCACACCCCCTGACATCACCGGAAGTGTGTCAGAAGGCCCGGCTACTTACCCTCCTGCTTCATCCTCATTCCCAAACGGAATGAGGATCGAAGCAGAGGGCGGGGTAAAGAAGGGGGCGGGGCTTCACCACGTGACCACCCCGCCCCCTAGAGGTTCTCTTCCGGAGCTCCGTACCTGAGAGCTCCCCCCCGACTAGAGCCCTGTGTGTGTGTGTGTGTGTGTGTATGTATATGAATTTGTAAGCCGCTCAGACTCCTTTGGGTAGTGAAGGGCAGGGTATAAATCCAATCTCCTCCTCCTCCTCCTCCTCCTCCTTCTTCATAGTTAGATTGATCCTGGGGTGGAACTTGTGGAAAGCATGGAGAAATCTCTTCAGGGCTTCTTTCCCATGTGTCCAGAGAACCTGGATTTTGGCAGTGCTACCCCACCATCCCTCTCCAGGGGCAGGGGGGGGGCTGGCACCCCTATTTTAAGAGCCTGTGAGTTGCCTTGCCGATCACTTTAATAAAAGGGCAGGACTTGGCTTCCTTTATTTTATTTCTTTTTGAACATCTTTGACTGTCTACTGAAAGAGCCCTGAAGACTTCTGACACCAAGAGAAAAGAAACCATCTTTGAGAGCAAATTAAAAAGCAAATGTTGGCAAACCACAGCTTGCGACACTGAAAACCCTTTCCCTCAAGGGCCGCGGCACAGAGTCGGCCCCCTCTGGAGGGCAGCCCTGTTTCAAATCCCCTTCAGCTCCTGAGATTTTAGGGGACATTTTAAAGGGTGGTTGTACAACCCTGATGAGGACTAGAAACTTAAAATGAAAAGCTTTGCATTCTTGCCGGTGCAATCACAATGAGATAGGTAGTAGGGCTGTCAGCTCCCGGTTGGGAAGAGCAAATGTGGAAAAACACCCCGTTAGAACAAAACACAATATTATTATGCCACTATATCTTCATAAATAGATATAAATAATATACTGGAATACAATAGAGAACTGGAGAAGCCCTCTATAGAATTGTTGACTTGTGGACTTGTGCACTGTAGTATTGTGAGGTTTGGTTCCAGGAAAAATAATTTTGCCTGAAGAAGACTCTCTCGAAACACACAATTTTTGCCTGGGAGGCGTGTCGCTATGCCTGCTGTATCTCTTTTGGGAAGCATAGCAGTTTCATCACTGACGACTGCTGCCTCTTTTATCAGCCTCTCATCAAGAAGAAAGATAGTCTACAGCACTGAAACCTGTTTCTGTAGCTGTGGACTTTTATACTAGATATACAATTTATTAGTACGGTCATTGACCAAATACGTAAAAGAACCGAAAAGACATCAGCCGGTAAAACAGTAAAATGAATACAGACGCTATCCAGAATATCAAATAATTAAAATGTTAGGAGTAAAATCAAAATATTATTAGATAATTGAAAATCTCTATTTAAGTACAATATTCACTATCTAACTGCTAATAGCTTGTCTCCGGATTTTGATCGCCTGCATGGCAAATTTTGCCATGTTTAAAGTAGTTCCCTGCTCTTTGTCAGCCAGCAACTTATCAAGGTAAAATCTTTCATTTCTCTCAGGAAATCGAGAACAAATCAGGGTTATATAAATGTCTGTAATACTTTGATACATTTTACATTCGAACATCACATGTTCCCTCATTTCTACCTTCCCCTCACCACAAATACACAATATTTCCTCATAAGGTTGTCTTTTGTATTTACCTTCTAAAACTGCAGATATGAGCATATCGGCTCTGAGCAGAGTAAATGCTCTTCTATAGTCAGGTTTATCTAAGTTTTGTAAATATACCATTGGTATTACCTTATTTAGTCCCGCCCTTCTGTTTTGTAGTCCCTGCTTTCTCAGCACAGGCCCTCCTCAGGGGTCATTTCGTAGAAAAAGAGGTGCGGGAGCTAATTAGCACAACTCATTTGCATATGTCACTCCCCCTGACATCACCGGAAGTGTGTCAGAGGGCAACACCCACCGCTCAGGCTCCACTGGACTGTTTTGGGTTGCTAGCTATGGGGGGGGGGAACGTGCAGATCTCTTATGTTCTTATGTTATCTGCCCTCACAGAGGAGGGAGAGCTTGCACCTGAAGGCGGGCCGGGTGGGGGGCTCTGCAACTTACCTGGCTGCTTCTTGCTCCTTGTGGCCTGACTGAGGGCTGCTGGGAGCAGGGGGTGGGGCTTGTTGCATGTGCCCGCCCCCTGGGCTACTTACTGCTGGAGCTCCGATCCTGTGTGCTCCCACAGGAAATGACCCCCTGGCCCTCCTAAAAAGGGGGTGCGAAAGCCCTTTCTTCGGCTTGTCCCCACTTCCATTTCGCCTCCTTATGCAAAAGTGCGTGCAAAGGGGCCGCCACTGATGCCTTATGCGGTAAAAACGCATGGTAAAAATTGAGGAGTCCTAAAAATGCTTGGAGCTCCTTCTTACTCACCGGCCTGGGGGCGTCTCGGATCGCAGTCACCTTGTCGTTAGTGGGGTGCACCCCGTCTGCATCGACCCGGAATCCCAGGAATTCCACACTGCTAACACCCAGTGTGCATTTTGAACGTTTTACCCTGAGCCCTGCGTTTTGGAAACGCTGCAAGACTTCCTTTACACGGTCCATCAATTCACTTTCAGATTTCCCCGCAATTAACACATCATCGAAGTAGGGCACCGTTCCTGGCACCCCCCTCAACAGTTGTTCCATTAGGCCCTGGAAAATGCCGGGTGCTACATTTACCCCGAACTGTAGGCGATTCACCTTAAAAGCTCCCCAATGGGTAACAATGGTCTGAGCTTCTGCAGCCTCAGGAGTGACAGGCAACTGCTGGTATGCCTGTGCCAAGTCCAATTTGGCAAAGACCTTTCCTCCCCCCAATGAAGCCAGGATGTGGCTTATAACCGGGACTGGATAGGAGTGTTGTTGTAACGCCTTGTTAAGGGTGCATTTATAGTCTGCGCATATATACTCAACAGTAACAGAGTCCCGTCCGGCCAAGGGAATTCGGTTGCCCTGGAAGTCGGACACTCTGGTTCCCGCAGGCTGGAGCCGCCGCCGGCTTCGGTTCGGGAACAACTGGCGCCAGGACGCGGCAGAAATCACCGTCACGGACGATCCTGAGTCCACCTCCATTGTACAGGGTCGGCCGTCGAGGAGTGGAGTCACGGTGATCTTGCCCTGGCTGCTGGTGCGATTTACGGCCGATGCGCTCGACAAGGTCGCCGTCAACTGGCAGCTTGCTTCCGATGCTGAGGAACGGGTCTTGCCTTGGGTGCTGACTGGAGTGCCCCTCTGCGCTGACCGGTTGTTAGTTGAGGGATCCTTCTTCGCTGATCTGCAGACTCTGGCCAGATGACCACGCCGCCCACACGCTCTGCAGTCGACATCACGAGCCCAACAGGAGTCGCGCTGGTGCTTCCCGCCACAACCGGAGCAAGGCTTGACGTTGGTAGTCTTCGCTGGGGTCCGCTTGCCTCGAACCGCGTTGACGTCATCATCCGCGTCTTCGCCCTCGCTGTCTCGTTGAGCGTGTATACTGGGCTCTGCCACCCGCTGGCGGACCTCCTTCGTGGACTTCTCCGCTGCTTCCGCGGCCACGGCCTCTTCGTAGGCCACTGCCCAGGTCAGGGTGGTGCGGGCGAACAGCCTCTGTTGCAGCCTTTCATCTTTGAGACCGCAGACGAGACGGTCTCTGAGGGCTTCCTCCACGTTGTGGAAATTACATGGTCGTGCGGCTTTGCGAAGGGCCGCCACGAAATCTGCGATGGTCTCGCCTCCGGCCTGGTTCCGCTTGTAAAAAGCGTGCCGGCAGGCGGTCTCCGACGGTTGTGGAGAATAGTGAGCCTTAAGCTTCTCCGTGATGTCAGCGTAGGTGACAGTCTTTATATCAGTTGGAGCCACCAACGACCTGGCAATGTCGAAGGTCCCCTTCCCGCAGGAACTCAGGAGGCATGCTCGTTTCTTCGCCTCATCGGTGATGTCATGGGTTTCCAGATGGAACTCGAACCTGGACAGGTAGGAGTCCCAGTCTTCTGAGGAGGGTTCGAAGCACTCGAACTTCTGGCTTCCAGCCATCGTGGGAGACTTGGGCACCGGAGCTGGTGGCGCCTCCACCGGATCCTAACAAAGGACTCTTAGAGTGATTCAGCAAGTGATTCAGCTTTATTGGAAGTAACGAACAAGCACTCAACTCAGTAAGAAACCAGAACAGAAAACAGTGGGAGCTTATGCTCCTTTTAAACATAACCGGGCTAATGTAGCCACGCCTATTTACAATTAACAACCAATGAGATTGCTTAGTTAAGGACCAATGGAAGTCTTTCCCTCCTAGGGAATGGTATCGTTCTGATTGGTCGCTGTTACGAAGCGACCAATAGGAAGTTCGCTCAGAGGAGCCCTGGTCTGGCTCGAAGCTTAACATAGGAGTCCTATGAGGTGATTCATGCAATCGTTTCAATACATTACAGTGACCCCTTTCCTGCTTGTCCCAAGGGGCGACTCGACATCTGGTGGCACCAAAACCGAGGGCACGGAGCCCTATCCTCTGAGCCTTGCCCCAATTCATGCAATCGTTTCAATACATTACAGTGACCCCTTTCCTGCTTGTCCCAAGGGGCGACTCGACATCTGGTGGCACCAAAACCGAGGGCAC